GAACAGCATTTCTTGATGTATTGCCAGGGGTACGCTACCATAAGAGTTGAGCTCCATTCTCACATTTCAAACAAAGATGCACTTTACGCAAATCTGAGCAATAACGAGAGAACTAAGTACTTACTTAGAGCTGACAATAGAGTCACATCAAAAATAATAGGTAAATATATCAACTTAATGTTTAAAAAAAGAAAAGAGATTCTCAACTTACAAATGAAATGAGCATTATACCGTATTTACCCGTGTATAAGTCGACCTTTCAAGACCTAAAAATCAGTCTGAAAATTCGCCCTCAACTTATACATGGGTCAAAACTTGAGATCCAAGCATTAGTTAAATAATTAGCATAATTTTATTTGAATTATAAAAGAATCAAGTGAATGTTATTTCTTATTGTACTAGTTAAAGTTAAACCTTTATTGTAAACAGACCAATACCTCCCTTTGGAGAGTAAGACGCAATAAAGATATACTACTACTACTCACTCACTCACTCGCTCACTCACTCACTCACTCACTCACTCGTCCATAACATACCCTGATGCGCCAACTAAGAGGTATTTTTTTTACAAAAAATAACTCAATAATACCAATGAGCAGTAACAAGCGCTTACCTTGAAAGTTCAACTGTGGCTTTGCAGGGTCGTCATCGTGGTGAAACGGCAAGCAAAGAAAAAATATATGTCAAAACTTAAACTACTACAAGAACCGGAGAAAAAGAACGAAATGAAGGATAACACATATTCGCCATCTTTTCGTTACAAATTTCCTCTATGACGGAAACAGCAGACACCATCTTGAAGCACGAAACAACCAATTGGCGATGAGAAATCTACCCACATGATATGCGTTTCCAGTCCAGTCTTCTACTATCCATGCTGTAAATTTGGCTGGGCAGACACGGTTCTTGGGGAAAAAATTACAGACAAATGTGTGGAAAATTAGAAAAAATGAACTGAGTGTCTTCTAGCCATGCTACATCATTCAAACTAGGTGAACACAATCTTCTACCTAGTATTTTAATGTTGCCATTCACAAATTGTGTAAAAGTCAATTTTGGAAAAAAGTTATTTGCCATTGGATTCCTATACAAACACTGGAATTCTGACTGCTTTGCCTACCCGTTAACAAGGGTCGAAATGTTCCCAGACTGTGTACCTGTGTCTAGTGACAGGCAGAATATTTTTTCACCTGTCTCCACTGACATCCAACTTGAACAATATTATTTTAATATTTATTTTCACTTTTTAAAACTCAACTGAGGTTGTACAATCTTTAGTAATAAACTGATAGAAAGCAATGACATTTTGTTGTCAATTGATTGTCTCAGCCTGTTTAGGCCTTTGGTTTTGCCCATAGGCATCCACTAGTCTCCTAAGTTTTTTAGCATCATCCCACCTTAATTTCCTTGATCGGCAAAGAATAGAGCAAGTCACATTTGCTGTCTTTGTCATGTGCACTGCAAAGATTGCGTCATCTTGCTTTTATTGAGTAGAGTCTGGTAACTACCATGCGAGAACTGCACGAGTGAGCACGACTGTGGGTGGAAAACAGATGGAAATATTATTCAAATTAATAAATTCTGAATTACTAAGGATTTTCTTGCCTGTCACCAGCGACAGGCATCAATACTTTTTACCTGAAAATTTTTACCTCCTAAAATTACCTGAAATCGGCAGTTAGACAGGCAATGTTTCAACCCCTGCTGTCAAGATGGCATCGAAAACCATGATAAGGCCTATTATAAAACCCTAAATATTTCAGGCAAAGCTGGCTTATAATGAACAATTACTCACTGAAGGCGAAGTGAACTTTGGTAAATATTCACCAATTCAAATGTTCACTGAGCCTGAGGTGAATAATTATTGTCTTAGCATCGTAAGTAAGTAAGTAAGTAAACTTTATTTGATAAGTAGGTTGTAGAGGGGATTTGGCAGCCGAAGGGCTGATGTGGACCTACTATACACAAAATATAAA